GTGCCTCTAAGTTAATCTTTAATTTTTTGGAACAAAAAGAAGTCGCAGGTTGCAAGGTCCGGGCTGTAAGGCGGATGCTTCATCAGTTTTACATTTAAAGCCTACAAATAGGATTCTGTTACCTTAGCGGAATGTGAGGTAGCGTTATCGTGGTAAAGGCGGAGGACATTGCTTCGAGGACGCTTTTTGCGAACTTTTTCTGAGACTCTGGGCAAGCAAGTGCTGACATACCAATCTGCAGTCACTGTCCTTTGATTTTCAAGCGATACTGTAGTGCAATGTCATGATTTGCCGAAAAAAGAAGCAACCATGTTTTTACCATCGTTTTGACTTTTCTTAACTTTCGTCGGCAAATCTTCAAAAGGAAACACTGGATGGCTTTTTCTTTCGGGTTCAAAGCAGTACACGTAGGTTTCGTTACCTGTCACAATATTATAGACAGCCAATGACTGTCCTTCGTTTAACTTTTTTATCATTTTACAGCACCACTGGACACGCAGTCGTTTCTGGTCCTCCTATAAGTCATACGGTATCCATCAGGTGCATAGCTTCTGAACCTTCAGTTGCACATTTAAATTGTTTTTCACTTGGCTCATTCCAATCCCTAACAAAGCAATAATTTGTTGGCAAGTAATTTTATTGTCAGTTTCAATAAGTTGTCGAACGGTGTCAATATTAGTCTGTAGCCGCAGTCGCCAGCCGACCTTCACGTACCTCGTCATGGAGATGCTCACGTACAAGTCAATTTAAATTCTCCAAGCAACGAATACAAAGAGCTGCGATATGGTGCTTCAGCACTAAATGCCAAGTGAAGTCTCTGGCAACTCTCTTGTTGACTTAGCCAAAAGGAAAATCAAAAATGTTCACGAGTTAAATTCATTTTGATAGCGACACACAATTTTCAAAAGGATGTCACAATGAAAAAACGAATGACAGTCTCGCAAAATAAAAAGTAACATTTTCCCAAAGAGTTCCATTTTTAAATTTCATAATTGTTTTTTCATTATTTTATTGTACGAGTAAGTGGCCAGATCCAGAAACTTTCAGTATGCCCCACGTATCTTCTTCTTGTTTGCATAAAATATCATTGGTGAGGCCGTAATTTTTAAGTTAGTAATTCTACAAGTGTCCCAATGCTAATTTCCATCTACAACAAGTCTTGTCATTGTTGGATTCTGTGACAACAGTTGACATACATATCAATGCAAAATTCGTTTTGTCTTGAAACGTACAATTTTACGCAAATAAGAAATAGTAAGCCAACACTTGTTGTGTTCAGCTATTTCAGATCATATTGTTATATTATATAGATATGGTTATATTGTATCGTTTCTTGTGAATATGTTACTACACGTATGAAAAGGAAACGTTACAAGGTACGTTTGAAATTAGACGCTGTGACAGCGCTGTAGCGTCGTATTTCAAACGAACTTAGTTTGAAGTTCGACGCTGTGGCAGCGCTGTGTGCAAGCTGTTTCTTTAGAGAATAGCACTGCAGGTAACCGACGGGTTACCTGCAGTGCTATTCTCTAAGAGACGTCTTATCAATGCCCCCTTCTTTTTTTTTGTTTTTGTCTGTGCAGAAATCGCTTCGGATACCACCTACCGGTGGTTAGGTCGGACATGAACCGACCAACAACCGCACGCCGTCTCCGGTAGCAGTAGCCGGGGTACCAGGTGTACCCTAGGAAGGAAATCCCTGGAACTCCGACGGACCCAGAGCCCTCTACGGCTTGTAGATGACCCCCTCGTGTGTGGGAACCACGGTGTTCCCCTTCTGCTCCTAAAGGGCGCGCGCGCTCCACAGCGCGTCGCACCGCCAACCCGGCCTGCTTCACTGCTGTGACTGCTAGGGTGACAGATGGCCTCACCTGTCAGCCCCAGGCCTGCGCTTATGGAGGACGGAGATCGTTTTGCGACCTGCGTGGTCCGTGTGGTGACGGATTAAGAATACAGAGTGTCACCACCCCAATTCATCCCGTGGGTGTCGTAAGAGCCGACTAAGGGCACAAAACAGCGCAGGACAACAAGACTGCAAAGAGAAGGAAACTTGACACAAACCCTATACCAACCCGTCTGGCCAGCGTGGTATAGTAGGCCAAAACCTCCTTTCTAAGGAGAGGCTTATGTCCAGCAGTGGACTATTAAAGGCTGTTGATGTGATGTGATGTGTGTGTGAAATAATAACCTTTCAACCAATCGTATCATGTAACACTTCCTTTTTAAACGTGTCGTAACAAAATATACTTTATAATTATACCTAGCACTGAGCAAGAGAATAGCACTGCTGATGATAAATGACTACCGCCGCCCGTGCAATTCAATAGTCACAGGTGAGTTGCCACTCTTTAAGCTCTCCTCCCAGAATTAGGGGAGAGATGGTCTGACCAGATCGGACTCTGGTAACCTCAGTCACTCGATTAAAAGCAACGAAACAATTGCTTAACAACAGTTTGCTGTGAGTGGTATCACTTCGGTCTATTTGTGCTAAAACATAGCCACACAGAATTATAATAACTCATATGAACATATAAAATAATATTTGAAATCTTTTAATCCTTACAAATCACTTAAAAATGCAATTTATTCTTACAATCATAATTCATTTGCATTTTATGAGCTCGTTTTCGCAGTTTTTGGATACCTTCGTTTTAATGCAAACAGCTGCTAAGTTGATTGAAAGATGTTGATCGGATATACTTATAATCAAGGTGAAAAATAAAACAATAAACAGGGATTTTCATTTTTTATAATTTTGTCACTCTCACAGTTAAGACGAATCTGACGAGTCTGAGGACACCTCCCAAGCTAAAATCCATGAAGCCGTATAGGCTACAGTGCGTGTCAAAGAAATATAGATACATACATACACTCACAGACACTTTAAAACATAACCCACTTCTAGCGCAGTAGGGTAAAATAACATAATATAGGTACCATGAGGTAAATTAGTGTAAATAGTACATTTATGCATTAGATTATTGTCAGTCGCATGAAATCTCGTAAAACCTTACACATTGAAAACAGCCATCGATCAGTTAAATTTGTACAATTTACGAGGATAAGGAATAATAACAGACGACAATGCATAAGTACTCGTACCATGTGTTATAATATTTTTAATTAAATACTTTAAAAATATCACTTCTTTTATCTTAAACATATTTGAAACTTGGTTAGTTTTGCATACTAATTCACTTCTTCCATTATTATTTTATTTAAATTTGACGAAGAAAAAAACTTAATCAGAAGTGGATATTTTATAACGTGAGGTTGATGAATAACTACTTAGTATGAATTGTAAATAATTTAATGTAAAAAAAAAAATAAAGGTTTTAAAATGGCTGCGTTATGAAATGAAGCAAGACTTCATTGTTGTGAATTATGTAAGTTGTTCGTCTGTATTTAGTAGGTAGATGATAATATTTGATGAAGCTGAAGCTAGCCAAACACCGCGGTCGAGCTAGCCGACGGACATAGCCTACGTAGTATATGGCAAGCCCCTCAAATTGAGAAACATTTTAATCAACAAAGAGAACAAACGGAATGACTGTTTGCTCCAAATTACTATATAATAAACCAGGGCCTTTAATATTTAAAAAATAATAATGAAATAATCATGTTAAAGGAATAAACGCTGTTTATTAACGAAAAATCGAGTTTTTCATTGGTAATTTTGTCTTAAATTTTTCACGAAAATAGGAGTGCTTTCAAATTTTGTAGAGTTAATCCCTAAGTATCATACAATGATACCAAATGACTTTTACGTTGGCAGAAAAGTTAAAATTCTGATTGTAACTCTTTTCACGAAAGTAGGATTGCTTCCTAATTCTGTATAGTTTATCCCTAAGTAACGTACTATAATACTTCATTACTGTTACGTTGGCAGAAAAAATATAATTAACAATATTTAATGAGAAAACGTACGTAACTAACAAAAAAACTGAATTTTGATAAAAAGAACTCTCTTCGCAAAAATAGTATTGCTTTCTATTTTTTTACAGTTTATCCCTAAGAAACGTACAATTATAACATATTACTGTTTTGCTAGTGTAAAAGTAGTTTGGTATTATTGTACGATACTTATTACCCCATTGGGCTCTTTCACGATAAAACAGTATGAGTTCGTAGAATAATTCAACACAATACAGATTAGTAGATGTCATGTCGTGTATATCAAAGGATCGTTAGTTTTAACAATAGTAAAGTGTTAACGATCTACGTACGCTTTAAACGGTCTTAATTATTTGTTATTGAGAGAGCAATAAACCTTGAGCTGGGCAAACGGCGTATTTTAAAGTCAAGGTAACTTCTCCCGCTCATCATCATCATCATCAACAACTTTACCAGTCCACTGCTGAACATGGGCCTCTCCTTAGAAAGGAGGTTTTGGCCTACTATAGGGTTTCTGTCAAGTTTTCCTTCTCTCTGAAGTGTCCGCTCTTCCTTCTTAATTAGAAATATTTAAAAAAAGGAGTATATTTCGAGATTTTCTTGTACGAATAGAATATAAACTGTATCTATTTTGTTTCTCGATGAATAATTGATCGTCACTTCGTAAATTATAATTATCTTTTCAGCACATTTATTAATTCTCAACTTAATTTTGAATTAATATTTTTAATGCAATAAATCGATAAATAGTGCCTCTTACAAGTGCCTCGCCGTGCTATACGGACACCTGTGGCAATCATTACGGGTAGTTGGAGTACTAAAAAAAGTCCGTTGGCCGTCGCTCCACCTAAAAAATCGAAGATCAGCCGTGTCGTAGTAGAATAAAAGCCGACACCAACCTAGTTTGGTTAGAAGGCTCGGAGGAAGCGGTTCTCATAAGTAAGCTAATATCTGATATGTTAATGATAAAACATAGTACCTATCAATTGAAATAAGTGAAGAAAAAAATCATTACTACTACTAATTAGGGTTTATTTTAATTTAATAAAATTTAAAGCTTACAATTTAAATCTTATACGTTTGTTTTATTACGTTTTATTATTATTTTAAATATCATTTAATAACAATTTTCCTTTGGGTTCTCCAACAATATCGTTGTTTTCATAAATTAACTGTCCACGGAGATAGGTCTTCTTCACCACGCCTTTCAATTCTCGGCCAATATACGGTGTGAGCTGAAAAAAAAACAAGGCAAGTTACTGATCGTACTGTGAATGCCTCAACCTCGAATTGAACAGATTAACTAAAAAACCGAAAACTAACGAAAATATAGATAAAAAAGTTTCTAATTTCATATCTACTCAAACAATGTTTGAAATATCTCTCATTATAAAAAACATCAAACATTGAAAAAAAAACAGTAATGAACTAGGATTTTGAGGAGAATTGCCCAACAAGGCCACGCTCTATCAATCATATATGAGGCTAGACAATAGGTAACAACCCCTATTATTTCAGGATTGTAATATATATTCTTTGGTCTTTCGAAGATTAGTCTCAAATTAGCTCGAGATCTTAGAGCACGCACTAACATCCATCCGTGGTTATTCTACTACATACTATTACTCGTGCTACTACTATCGTGTGTTTATGGTTCTATTCACTTGTAGGTGTTAAATTACTTATTTTTCTTTTTCTAATGAGAACCATACAAACAGAGCGTTTTATATTTGGTCAAGTTGTCTATACCTAGAATAGTCTATGATTGTTTTATAAATAAAGTCGTTAATAAACTAATTATAGAATACTTCACCTTAAGAAAACAAAGACAGACTTGGCTATTTTTTTCTTTATATCAATTTGTCACAATGTCATTTCAATGTCACTATTTGCGTTTTCTTGCGCTGTAAAATCTTTTATTTTAGTATAAAATTATCTTTATAAATTTTAACTACCTTATTTTTATGACGTATAATTTCAGTAGACACAATAAAATATGCATCAGGATCGAAAAAGATAAGATCTGCATCGAGACCAGGCTCCAAGGCGCCCTTCCTATTTTGCAAGCCACACAATTTTGCGGGTCCAGCACTCAAATACTTTGAGATTGTTGTCAAATCTAGTCCACGAGAACTGGCTGCTGTCCAGAATAATGACAAACCTAAAACCAAACACACAATTTAGTACTTCTTGAAATTGTATAAAACTTAAAACATCGCTAATATATAACATTGGTATAAAGTTTTTTTTGCTGCATTGTTTATGGGAGAGTTACAGTAAACTTGCTTGGATGGAATGTTTAAACAGTATAAAAACTACTAACCTTTTTTATATTTTTTATATTTCAAACTAGTTGTTTATACTACATAGTAGCGTAGATTAATCTATCTATAACTAGGTTTATCTGTACAAAACCCACCCCTAAAAATACTCAAAACTGATAAATGCTAGAGAAAAACTAAGTATGAATAGATTCATTTCTGCAAATAAGTCACAACATCTTACAGCCATTTATAGCCACTAAACGAAACGCAATCTGGTTTTAATGATTCACTACTAAAAGTTGAAATGAACCTACACAGTGGATGTGACTTCTTTGACAGTATAATAGGACCTAAATTAAGTTGTGACTTCACGCTCTTGGTGTGGACTTTGTTTGCCAGTGCTTTATGGAATGGTCTAATTCTGTATGACATGCCGTATGCATGCCAAGAAAAAATTACGTACCGAATTGTACTGATGAAATACCACCCCAAGCTTCCAGATTGTTCGATGTTTTGAGATCGGGAGTGCAAGGTGAGTGATCTGATACTACTAAATCCAAATTATCATCCAAAAGATAGTCCCATAATCTTTCCTGAAACAAAACATGCACAGTATCCAGTTATCTACGATAGTTATGTCCAATATTCATTTACCACACCAAAAGACGGGTAAATTTGACAACTGATTAGTTTGTTAACTAAGCAGCATTTAGTTGAATAACGTTGGTAGGTACGGTAAATTCACAACTTACCGGATTTCTAATAAAGCAGTTTTATAAATATACGTCGTTTAAATGTGCATTTGTGGATGTGGCGACTCCCACATAAACATACTACAGCGCCATCTAATGAAGACACACCGAACTACGGAGTAACTACTAAAATAAGAATTGCTAATCCTGTATCGCGATATAAAGAATTCCCTCGCCGATTAGCATATATACAACTTCCCAACATCAACCGTGGGGCCGCGGCCCGCCAGGCATGATCACCTCGCCTGGTCGGAGGATCCTCCCTTTGTGTTGGAGGGACATGACACCCGTTCCTCCACAGTGGTGACCCCGACGTGATTGGAAGCAGCCTTCAGAAGGAGCAGATCATCAGCAGCACCATGGTCTACACTCCCACAGCGATGAGCACTAATCAAGTCTCAGCCAGCAAGCAACCTCGGCCTCTACAGGGATACCACACGCAGGTAGCGACCGCTCCAGCCTGGTTACCTCTACGGCCTCATCAGCGTCTAGGCACAGCACACTGCACCTACGGTCCACGTAAGAAGAGCATTTTCTCTCCCGTCTACGCAGTAGCCAGCCACTACGCAGCAACCGCCCCGACTCACTGGGGACTTCACTGCAGCACCGCCCACCGCACGCCATCCCGACTCACTGGGATCAGCGGACTTCAGCCCCGACTCACTGGGGCTAGCGGCACTCAGTTCCGACCCACTGGAACTAGCGGCACTCAGTTCCGACTCACTGGAACTATTCACTACTGGCACTGGCACGCTCCATAACAGGGCATAGACAGCTGACTCATCATGTATCGACCTCCGGTCTTGGAGGGGAGTCATGTGGCGACTCCCACATAAACATACTACAGCGCCATCTAATGAAGACACACCGAACTACGGAGTAACTACTAAAATAAGAATTGCTAATCCTGTATCGCGATATAAAGAATTCCCTCGCCGATTAGCATATATACAACTTCCCAACATCAACCGTTGGGCCGCGGCCCGCCAGGATGATCACCTCGCCTGGTCGGAGGATCCTCCCTTTGTGTTGGAGGGACATGACACCCGTTCCTCCACAGTGGATATATTTTTATCTCTGTTGCAATTGGTGTTATACTGTATTATATTGTAAAGTGACTGCCGCCACCAATGAAGCCCTGCAACTTAGGAGTCTTAAGGACGTTGGCGGCCTTCAACGCGAGAGTCCGCTGCTTTTTTATGAAAGTTTGACAGTCGTATCGATACGGAAATACCGCAAGCGACAATTTGTTACATAGATTGGTTTTGCTAGGCAAAAAGTTTCTTGAAAAGTACCCAGTGGTGGAGTGCTAATTATGGGTGCAAAGTGATGGGGATGGATGTTTTTAATAGAACGATGGCAGAAAGCTAGGACCGCTATTGGTCTGAATAATTCTTTGGAGCACTCTTCATTATAAAGGCGATAGACAATGCAGAGTGAACCTACTTCAAGGCGATCAAAAATATTCTGGCAATCGATAATTCTAGTCGCTCTCCGTTGGATGCGGTCCAGAGAGAGAAGCTGCATAGAGATGAGAACTTGGTCTAATATAGACATAAATAAATTCCTAAATAAGCCGATTTCATCAACCAATCCCTCATGATAAAGTGTTAAGTATTTAACATTAAAAGTAAAGTATTTACCTTGTTTTCTTTATCTCTAATAGGTGGTGCGCATTTATATTCGCTCTTACCCTTCGGTATATCGTCAGCACTAAACGTCAAATAATGGTGACATGTCTCCGCAGTTACACCTGCACGCCAAGCCTGATGATCTTTTGCGGCTCGAGCCTTTCGAGCTTCTACGAGAAGAGGTACTACGTCAGCTGAAGATACGTGCACCACGTGTACACGGACACTAGAAATGAAATTTAATTATTATGAACAATCTTGTAAAATGTTGATACGTAGGTGTGAAATAGTTTGTATATAATTGCCGAAGTATCGGCATGGGAAGTGCTGTGAGCTGAAATACAAGCTATAAAAGTTAGTTAGTTTAGCTAGCTAATTTAAAAAAATATTCTGTAAAACATTACTATGAGGGGCTCGTGGCTAAGAGATATCCGAGTAGATTACATTGCAACGTAAATTGAGTACTTGGGTTGTGGAGATTTGATGACAGTCGCTTCACGTAAAAAATCCAAGTTCAGCTGAGTCGTAGTAGATTGAATGCCGATCCCAACCTATAGTAGTTTAGGAAAAGACCCAAAGGCTCACGATGACTACGTCCTAGTGTATGCACATTCATTGTTTGTTATCAGACTGTATAGTTACCTTAGTAGTTACTTAGTATAGTTAGTTAAGTTGACACGATTAAATACGCTCCTACATAAATAATGGTAATATTCACAAAAATACAGAAAATTATATTCATAATTGAAAACTGCATTTGCAACTCTATTTTGAAAGCAGATATCAGTTAGATTTAAATTTGTAAGTAAAATGCTGAATAAGTAAAGCCGCTTAACTAAGCAAAGTCATAGTGAAATAGAATCATTTTTGATTAACACCTGACTCTGCTATGTAGTATTGTAACCAGACAGCTGATAAAAACACTTATATACTAAACAGAACAAATGATGGCGCTCATTACACAATCAGGATCACAATAAACTTGACATCAAGCCTGGCCTTTCCTGTAGAACTGATAAAGACAGATCCACATAGACTACATAGTTAGGTCGACGATGCTACTCAGCTTGCATATCGATAATTTTTCAATTATTTTTAATCTAAATCGCAAATGCCGCAGTATTACGGTGGTGGTGTTTATAACACCACTCTCTCAACTTTACGTGATTGTAGTTAAAAAGAACATTTAAATAAACAGAAGATTATGGGTAGCATAGTAATAGTGCATATGCATCCAACCAAATACGTGCTGTATTACTAAATAAATTGCGTGCTTTGTATTTGCTACGATTATAGCTCTGGGTGGTAGTTTTGTTTTGTATGATTAATGTGTAGTATCTGTTTTATATAGGTACTTACTCTGTTTTACTGACAAAATCTTTGATTAACGACACGGCATCTAGTTCCATAGTCGGTGGTCTCGACTCCAGATATGTACTATACTCTTCTGGATCTACAATGAATAATACATACAATAATAATAATATACATTTAATTACCTGTGACTGTGTGAGAATGGTTGGTATGGTGGTAAATGTTGTTTTCGTTGGTATAAAGATTCTATAGATAAATATTTAGTAAATAACAAGTTTATAAAACATTGTCTAGATTTAAAATATTCTCAAGGTCTTCTAGTTGTTGTTTGTCTAGTTGATTATTTTGTATGTTAGACAAAATCATCATCCGCCGATCCATATAAGGCCCCTCCCCAAGGAGCGCCAACAAAATAAAAAAGAGAAAATGCGAAAACGTTACTTTTAAATACTCACCTTTCTTTTTAATTTTTTTGCTCGATGGAGGTCCATCGTTATCCTCTTCCAGTTCAGCATGAAACTAAAATACCAATAATTCGTTTTACTTATGAACATTATATTACTAATATATACATACATCATGAATCCTTACCGCCAAAACAGACCCTGTGCCCTCTAAAGCGTCAAAGGTTTTTTCTAAATCTCGCGGACCTACATTAGGAAATTCTTTCACCCCGCTTGGACATAAGAAACATTTGAAGCCAACTACACCTGCCTTTACAAGATCGCGAAGTGAATCCTGAAAAAATTGTATAACATTTACATGGTACAGGGGCTAAATGAGCAAATGGGTCACCTGAAGGTAAGTGACTACCGGCAGGCATGGACACTTGCAACTTACTTTACAAGATCAAGAAGTACGATGCCGGTTTTTAAGGCCGAAGTCCGCTATTTTTCTTACACAGATTGGTTGTACGAGGCAAAAAGTTTCTTGAAAAGCGCACAGTGGTAAAGTAGGTACTTATTATATAAATTCTAAAACTATCTAATAATATTGTACATTTTAATGGGCCTAATCCCTCCCACACGCCCACCACTACACTCCTGTACACCAGGATCAACAGCAGTGACCCACTACCACACCGAGTTATGACACTGGGGAAGTTCCAGGAAAAAAATTAAACTATCTTAGAACCCGCAACGAAATTAATCAGAAGAAAATTGAAGAAGTTGGCAATATAATAAATCCACTACCCTCCTTAGCAGAGGGGAGACAAAATGAATTAAAATAGGCATACACCCTTTTAAACAGGGAAGCACCACGGCCACAAAATATCATGGGTCCTACGTGAGCTATATTTGATTTCTATAATATTGTACATGCGTATGCTGTCACAGACACTAATAGCGAATTATATTAATAGCTGTAGCTATTAATATAATTCACTATTAGTGTCCGTGACAGCCCGTGTGATGTTAAGGTTTTTATGTTTTACCTCATTCCCTGGTATAACACCGCCCCAAAACGCAACATCCACGTAGACATTTTCTTTAGCAGATGCTACTTTCGTTTTAAGATTTTTCACAGTCGTAGTTGGTGGAATTGAATTACTGGAACAAAAAAATATTAAATTAAGAAAATATTCAAGTCCGTGTAGTGACGGACTAAGAATACGGAATGCCACTACCCCAATTCATCCCGTGGGTGTCGTCAGAGCCGACTAAAGGCGCAAAACAACGCAGGTCACCAGCACTGCAAAAAGAAGGAAAACTTGACACAACCCTATACCAACCCGTCTGGCCAGCGTGGTGTAGTAGGCCAAAACCTCCTTTCTAAGGAGAGGCCTATGTCCAGCAGTGGACTATTAAAGGCTGATGATGTGATGTGATTCAAATCGGACTGCGTTAAAAATGCGAAATAAAAACTTTTTTTTCACAATTAGAAATCAAATTACACTTAGTACTAGGTAAGTGGAAGTCCATTTAACGTTTGTAGTCAAGTCAAAGAATTAGCAATATATCTATATATATATATATATAAGAGATTTCCACGTATATAGTCACTCATCACGATATCTCTGGAACCATTAGAGCTAGAGCCTTAAAATTTGGTAGGAATATTCTATTCACCGAGTAGAGGTCAGCTAAGTACGGATTTTAAGAAATTAATAAAATAATAATTAAATAATGTAAATAGCAAAACAACGTTTGCAACGTTTGCTAGTATAATATATAAAAGTATAAAAATATTTTTTTTTTAATCAGATAAATATTGTTATTTAAGATTGTTATTGTATTGTTATTAGGTACCTATACCCGTGTAAGGCACAAGATCTCGTAGATCACATTAAAAACTCTTTCTGGTCTTTCATCATAAAAATGAAAGATAAAGGATTTACAGTGATTAGTTTAACTTTGCGCTACATAATCGGTACGGTACGGTATTAACGTAATCTATCGCTGCAGTATCGTAATTCGCGTGCGTACAGCTGTCCAACGCTTGGGCGTTAACATAACTACCTACATTAAGCACCTACTTGCCACCGTGTCTACAAACTCAGGTTTTTGGTGCTCGTGTCGTAACTTAATAGCTGAAAGTCGCTGAATCACAACCAAACACATTATTTAGTATTATGGAATCTAAACTATGGTTCAGTCCAATTTACCTGCAAATAATTAATCTTACCTTTGTAACTTCATTATTTTCTAACTTCTTAAATTTAACCATAAATTAATTAACTTATCACTTATATTAATTAATCACGCATGTGACGATGGTGCTTCAATTCAGTATGTAGTAAATCAGCTGTTAAAGAGATAGAGAACAGCAGAATTAAGCTAAGGTCCAATACCTTCAGACTGCAGAAGATTGCGGTTAAATTTCGTTACATAATGGAATTGTTACATAAATTAACGAATACAGTTTTTTCTCATACTTACATATGTACACATAAGCTTTGATATCGATTAATTATTAAATCGTGGGTTTTGACGACAGTATGATGTGTATGTACACAAATGTACAAGTGTGCGTTGGTCGCCGGCTCGCCGCGCGCGGTCGTAAGTGTGCGTGCCTGCATACCTATTTGCATTTCGTATTATTTTATAGAACAGGAATAAACGTGTCCCCGCTGTAAATCATGTTAATAGTGTGTGTAGACTGTTTTGCACGGAATACAACTAGTTACCTATTAATTTTGGGCGATACGGGGGAATTACCTTAACGTTTGACGCCGTTGACAGCTGATTGCAATAAACGTTGCAATGCTGTTTGATAAATTACATTGCAGTTTTTAGCCGTATGCGGTATTTATTAGTTTTTTATTTCGGTAAATTTTTCTGTTTACTCATTGTGATGTCATTATCATTTAATAACGATATCACCATTTTTTTAAATTTTCCATTTGTTTGCTAAAAATGATAATTCATTTTTAACCAAAAAAATGGTAAAAAAAAAGGATGAGATTTCCGGCAGAGAATTCCAATGATTTCCGACTCAGAATGATGGTCTGAATACGATATTTCAGTATTTGGCACGATGTCCCTAACACGAGCGCTGGTCTCTAGAACTACTAGTTCGGTTTAAAAATTCTGATTGTGTTAGATAATCTAATAATCTAACGTCACATAACATCTTCCAGAAGACTATAGGCTACCTAGATGAAGCTGGAAGCATTTGGAGCGAAGTGAACAATAACCACGAGCGAAGTGGTGGAAATTGACCAGTTATTTTATGTATATTCGTACTTTAGAATATACATTACAAATGGTGCTTTTCGTGTAAATGATTGATTAGGTTCAATGGCAATGTCAGTCATAAAAGAGGATTATCTTTCATCTAATTATATTTTGTAAGAGAACACACAGCTTGCTTAGGAGTAAGCAGGTGTCTATGTATGCCTGTAGATGCTTGTAAGCTCAAGTAAACTGTACCTTTGCAAATGGTTTTTACTGGAGCTCTAGCGACCGTTCTCACATACTATTAATACAGAATTTTACTATTAGGACTAGCTAACCATGGTATCTTATAGGGTGAACATACTGTCAGCTGTGACCTGTATCTAAACTTCAATCATTTATCTGCGAACGAGATTCTATAATCTAATCATTTACGTGTGTGACCTACATGAAACTAATAACAGTAAAACACATACACATACATTGTTCTGAATGCGTTACGGTCGCAAACTGCCATAGTCATGGTTTTTATTCCAGTAGTTGCTATGAAATCTTGTTAGCAAGTCGTTCCTTGTGTTTTGTTGTAATTTTTGCACTACTCAAGGTCGAAGCGAGGCATAATTACAGTCTTTAACTTAAAAATAGTACTAGCCTATAAACTTCAATCAAGAACTGAGCTATCAGATAAAAATTAGTACAGTAACCAAATCAAAAATTAACAGTTTTAATATATTATTATTAGTACCTAATTAAAACCAAATGGAACGATTTGTTTGTTTCTACTAAATCGGTAAACTCAGAAACAAACTTCACTATTAGAAATCTATACAAAACATATGTTATTGTTTTATAGATATAGATACTTTGATAGACACTTATAATTACAGGGGCATATCCACGATAGTTGTAATACCACCAGACGCTGCAGCACTAGTGGCAGTCTGGAAGCCCTCCCATGCTGTGCGACCTGGCTCATTCACGTGGACGTGAGAATCCACTACACCAGCCAACAATACCAGGTCTCCTCCATCTACCACCTGGAAAACAGCATCGAAGTCGATCATTAGAAGTAGTAAAATACGGGGCATAAAGTGAAAAAAAAGTGAATTTATTCATGGCCCCAGCCAGATTCACAGAAGAAGGTAGCTTAGTAAGACGGTATGCGCACAGCGGCAGGTGGTGTCTTATAGCGCATAATGAAAGTGACCTAAGGCTAACGTCAATAAATCAAATCAACGTCAAATCAAAAATCTATTGGAGAGTAAACTAATTTATTAAGATCTTAAGTAGGATATCAATGGTAGGTACTTAAATAAGGCCAGGGTATGAAATTTCTGATTTGCCGTGTAAGTATTAATTCTATAAATACGGATGATGTAACTTCTTTAATTCAATAATTTTCGGAACAAGTTTTGTACAGATAAATCTTGTTGAATGCAACTGACATTTAAAATGGTTAAATTATTATTAATTATTTAATTAAATTAGAATTAAGTCTTTACTTATTTTTGGTTTTAATAAAGTAACTGCAAATTATATATTCAAACTCAATTATATCCTGTAGATATTACATAATTATAATTGAAGTTAGTGATAATAAACTATAATCGACATAAAAAAGATTAATGTACCTACAATGGTTTCGTTAAACATACAGTGTATAGTTTCTTACCTTAATTTTCCCATCACTCTCTTTAATTATATCGTCTGCTTGCTTCTTGGTAACAATTTTCTCAATTAACCCATTTTCGTCGACCAGAACGCCGCCATTTGGTATTATAACGCCATCGGCAACTACGCGACTACTCAAGAACAACTGGCGCTCAGTTAATACCATGGTAACACAACTCGGAATAACCAGAATTAATTTTTAATGATACGCTGACGTCCAACTCCGCTAGTGTAAAATATACAACTAACTAACGCTCTAATGAATAAGCGCCGATAGTGAAATCTGTTATTGTGAAGTTGTTGTGAGTATTGAAAACAAACATAACATACATAAAATGATAAGGATGACGCAAGATCAACTGTGAAGACAGATCCACTGATTTTTATTTATCACACCGGTTTTTTTTTTTTTTATTCATCTTAATTTTCTGTAAATAAAAATGTATTCGTAAATGACATTCACTATAAATATCATCATCACCATCAACAGCCCGCAACTGTATGTGTTGGACTGTTGGACACAGGCCTCTCCTAAGAAACAATGTTTTGCCCTACTATACCTGCGATGGCCAGACGGGTTGGTAGAAAGTTTGTGTCAAGTTTTCCTTCTCTTTGTTTGCTCCTTCCTTACTAAAACCACGAGATGAATAGGAATATGTCAATTATTTGTTTTAAGTATCACCAAATAAACATCGTATCCGTAAATGAAATTTACCATTAGGCTATTTTACCATTTATACTAAAGATGGTCGCGAAACCAGCGCAATGACCCTATCGTTGCGCCGGTTTAATGTAACAAACAAAAAAACTTATGCGTTTTCAAATAGTTATCTAATAAGAATTTACATGGTTTGAAACAAATGATTTATCCCAGCACCTAAAAAAATGACAATATGCGAGACGATTTAGTGGTGCGGGATTCATCGATGATTAAAAAAAAATAGTACTGCGCGTGGCGCTCAATGTAAGTTTTATTACTTATTTCATGTTGTAGAGACAAGTTCTGTGTTTAGTTAGAGAAATCATTAAGTTTTTTTAATTATATAGTTATATTTTGCTAGATTTCTGCAAAATATTAAGGTAAAACTCGGCGGTCTACATCCGAAGTTCCAAATTATCGAAAACATGGTCGCAATCCGATGAATACAGCATTATTTTGTTTTACTTAGTATAATCTTAATGTTTCAAACAGGTCTTCTACAATTAAGGGTGTAGCATTGTAAAAGTGCAGAGATGCAATTGTTTAGTAAGCAACCACCAGTTTATCTAAAGTAATTTTGTTTAATTTACCTACAAACATGGCCTAAATAGGTGGTCGTTAACCAACACAATTGAAATCAAGACACTAGTTTGCGGCCACCATATTTTAGCATGAGAGATACAACGGCCCATATTACAACTTAAATAAATATAATAATTTGTTGAGTCTGCGATCACGTATTTAAGAAAAAATGTGTTTTAAAAAAAAAAAACATTAAATGTTTGTTTAATATCATTGTTTTCGCGAGTAACAATGTAGTACTAATTTGAGGAATACTAAAGATGATTATTTCTCTGCTTACACCATTAGAATTATAAAAACAGACAAAACAATATTTTAAACTATTTTTTTAAGATAAAGATGCCAAAAAAAAATGTAATGAAGACCCAGGGCACCAAAAGTGCCCTAAAAGAATCTAAATGACTTGAAGACACCAAATGCTCTTAAGTATCAGATCTCTCGGACCAGAATTCAAACTCCTAATGGGAAGAGATGTGATGCTATCGAGATAAGGGGACCAGATCATGTACTTGGCATATGGAATGACCTCCCTTTATCTTACTGCAACGGTTTAAGCCTTGTTTGCTGATTTCGTACTTGGAAGGACATGGTTTCGGCTTTGTAGAGACAACTCATCACCTGGATGTATCGCTAATCTACTTAGCAATGTTGCAAGGACTCCAGAACAGACCAGATCTCGATCGAATCTCACGGTGCGCGAATGCTAGACACAGAGTCTGATAATACTCTTTGCTCTTCTGTATAATCTGCGGCACTGTATAGATGTGGTCTATGGTGCATAATCCGCTCCGAAAACCAGTCTGCTCCGGTGGTTGCAATTCGTCGTGTGTTGGCGCAAAACGGTTCGTGATGACTCTTGAAAACAGCTTGTGCGGTGGTGCACTTGCATGCAGTGACTTAGATGGCAACAGCAAAGTGTAAATTTCCGGCCAAGAAGGTGAAACTTTTGGATACAGTTTGTATGTATTTTTTGGATATATTACAAACAATTTTAATAATTAGACCACAACTGAATAAAATATATTACCTACTACTGATCGATGGTCACAAGTTGCATCATTTTGTATACTCTACTTCAAAACACAACCCACAAAATCCAAGCAGCAAACGTAGACATTTTCATTTTCAGCTTCTAAAGTTCAAGAATGAGCTATTCTTGAACTTTAGAAGCTTTCTATCGAAACTAAACAAATGTAAATTATTTATATATTATTTGAAAAACATGAATAAAATATTATTTTTGTTTAAAATTATTATTTACATAATTACAATGTATTAAAAGGTAAAATTAAAAACGTTTTTAAATCAATCCAATTTATTTTATTTCTGTATTTATCATATTAAAATAGTGGTCGCAAACAGATGAAAGTGGTCGCAAACCGGTGGCTAGATTTTCACTATTTCAGCATTTTATGAATTTTATTTTATAAATATTTTATGAATGAAAGTATTATATTTTAGGTATTATATCCAAACTAGACTATACTTGGGACCAATTTTCCCTAACACACTATACTGCGTATAATTAACATTTTCTTTTACTCATCCGAAGTCAGCAACCCAGCTAACTGGTCGTTAACCAGTGCAATGACCCTATGTCTTTATATTGATTCATAATCAAGCATTATACATTGTTTTTAACATTTTGCTTTTTTAGTTGTGTGCGTTACCCCAGCAAAATAATGTCGAAAATAGTCATTTAAACTTTATAGATAATTAGTTGCTCCCCTTCTGTAATTGTTAAGCACATTTTTAAATTTGTTTCACTTAAACTTTTTTAGTTATTTCAAAAAAACATTTCCTGCTGGAGTAACGTTTGAAACGTTACCGCAGCCAGACATTTTCTTTTTTAATTGTAATATTGAAATAAATTTTAGCTAAATAATTAGTTATCTGGACTAGGTAAATGTTACAACTTATTTGGTATTTGTATTTTCTTCGGCTGCGAAGTTATTCGAAATCCTGCTGGAGTAACGTTTGTGGGTTTGCTGGATCTCTGAAACGGGTAAGCGGATTGTAACCATCTTTTGTACATAACTTCTTAAGGATTAGTTTTAATTTGTTCTACAATAAAATAACAAAAATAACGGACCGTTTAAAAATTATTTAGGTAAGTATGAAAACACTTCAATACGTCCTAACACTTTAAATAAGACCTCTAAAGACTAACTTGAAACGTTATTCTATTGCTTGTAACTACCTTCAAATGTATACGAATTTTCGTAAGAATACTGTAAGTGACTAAAAAGTTATGATGAAATGTAGCTCTCCACGTTCACGATCACAATGTGTGCGGCCTTTTTTGGCCACCGATAAACCTGTGTGTGGATATATAAACTGAATGTTATGCCAATAATTAGTTGTTTAGTTCAGTTGTCTACCTGTAGAATTTCAGCGTCGTACATATAATAATTTACGAGATAATTAAATAAAAGTCATTAGAAGGTGCAAGTCCGTGGTAATCCGACCATGTTTAGGTGGTTACAAAAAAGCGATCACCCAGTACATTGCGCTGTCTTTTAAAATGTTTAGTGTAATACACCTTACGATTTCGGTACAGTTGCGTACAGTGTTAAATACATTCAATATTTATTCATTATTATTACCTATTATTTATTTTGTTTTTTTCCCTAATTGATCTTAAGCACTAGTTTCTTTACTTAAAATTTATTTAGTCTTTTTTACTACCGGAGCTACAATCAACAGAAAATCTGCACTGGTCCGCTAAAATTATAAATATGTAGATACATGTTTGAACGCTTCACCTGACTGCAATTAAACGAAAATTTAAACCAATAATAAATCGTTTCATTTCTTTGTTTCTTTTTTTGTAAAGAAATAACACTAAAGTAATTGTATTTTATTTTGGGGTGTATAGAGCTTAGACTTGAATGCATCAAAATATTTAAAGCAACAAGTCATCTACAATAAGTTAAAATAGACCGAATAGTAGAAGAATACAGTTGTAAATTAGAATGCATCAACATTGTATCGCCCAACAGTCGTATATCTCATAAGAGTAGGTAATATTGTTCTGTGGTCTATACCTAGAACCGAGAATTATCTATACCTTTGTACCTACCGTTAAGCGTTGAGCCCGTGACTGTTGATTTCGGTTAAAAACGAACAGTTGTTTAATGATATTTTGATATAATAACGGTAATTTAATTTATCGAGTGAAAGTGATGCATTTTTATAGATAAAATTATTGGTCAGATAATATTTGTCAATCAAGAATCGCAGATAATACATCCTTCGCTAGAACGCGGGAGGGGAGGGGCGAAGGGATACTTCATTGTTTGCAATATGCATCTAGTGCACTAAACTTGACCCTTAGGCAGATAATATACGTGTTGTAAAGTACGTGTGCGCTTCCGCTTTCTATTTTTGCAAATATTTATCGTATTCTTGAGAGTTCTTCAATATGTGTGTACCTAATTACTAATAATAGACATTAATGCTAATTCTATTCAATTTAAGTAATTGTCAATTCTTGTCTTAGGATATTAATTACTAATGCTAATATTGAAATTTCGTTCAGGGTGAACAAATTAAAAACGATTATAACTTTTAGGTAGGTATATCACTTATTACTAATTTTACATAAATAATTTATTTTATTATAATTTAACTCACCGCGATTTTGTGATCAAATATTTTATTTTCTCCAACATTATTACAGAAATAATGCAATACAGAGTTTGTTCGCGATATGCTAGCCTAAGTCGATTCATCACTTAAAAAAATCCCCATCTATTCACAAAATACCTATTTACAACGCATACGTTACACTCTTCAAAACTTATCATTTCATTTCATATTTCTTAAATTACCTATACCTACACTAAAATTAAACTTCAATTAACAAATACTACGCAGGTACC